AGATGAGTGGACCAAAGTTCCTCCACAGCGCTGTAACAGACTCATTGCAAGTTATCGCAAACGCTTGATTGCAGTTGTTGCTGCTAAGGGTGGCCGAACCAGTTATTAGGTTTAGGGGGCATACACTTTTTCACACAGGGCCATGTAGTTTTGGATTTTGTTTTCCCTTAATAATAAAAACCTTCATTTAAAAACTGCATGTTGTGTTTACTTGTGTTATCTTTGACGAATATTTAAATTTGTTTGATGATCTGAAACATTAAAGTGTGACAAACATGCAAAAAAATAAGAAATCAGGAAGGGGGCAAACACTTTTTCACACCACTGTATGTGTGTGTATTTATATATACATAGAAATATATACAGTACACACACCTATATTATGCAAGCACAAACTTTTATTTTGGTTCCGATTAATCACGATTAATCGATTTGACAGCCCTAGAAAAAACACCTAATAAAAGCTACTTGCAAAAAATATTAAATAATCAATTTTATTTTGTGTCTTCAAAATGTCACACTGTTGCCCTGGCAAATATTTGCTCTAGTCACGTCTCATTTCAATGATAACCATATAAAAAAACTTGAGAAATCTGAACTGTTCTCCAAAATACTTGGCATGACAGTAATGACAGCAGTAATGGGTACAAAGAAAAATAAAATAAAATAAAAGAATAAAACTAACCTTGTCTCTGGCCCACTGTATGGTGTGTTCAATAACAGCAGGAAAAGATTTTAGAGTGCAAAACGGAATCTCCTCCTCAGGTGGGTCTCTCTAAGAGAAACAGTCACAGTTGGAAAAAAAACAAAAAAACATGAACAGATAGGTAAGCTGGCACACAACCTGTATATACACATACACAAACATACACACTCACATGGCTGTTGTAGGACTCAGTGAGGTATGGGACAATGATCTCAGTGTGTCCTTTCGTACCCATGGTACCCGAGTCTAACAGAGCTTTCTGATTGGATACACTCCGACTGTAAGTTCACAAAACAACCACTGAAGTATGTGCAGTGAAGCACACATGTAATACAAAAACAATTACTTCTGCTGTTAATTAATGAATTACCTATCCACATATCTCCGTGCCTCCACGTTGTCCAGTGCAGTGACCACCAGGTTGAGACGGGAGAAGAAAGCGTCACTGTACATGTCCTCTGTAGCGGGACACAACTTATTCAGATGAGCATCTATTTGCAGCTCTGGGTTTATTTCTAAAGAAGCTGCTGCTGCAGTAGTGCTCTTTGGCTTCTACAGAGAGAAGAAAATGTTCAAAAGGAGAGAGGAAATCCAACTTATGAGACATGTAATTCATGAATGAAAGAGTGAAGTACTATCCAATTAATAAGATACCCGTATATGCTGAGGTCTGAAGAGAAACTGCCTGTTGAGGTTGGATTTCTCAATCAAATCTGGATCTGTGATGCATATCTAAGAATAACAAATAGCATTTTAAGAACTGGACCAACTTTCCATTCCTCATGTAAATGAGAAGGGGGAAAAAATCCTGTCAGATGTATATCCCCACCTCTCCCGAGCATCTGCTCAATCCGACCCCCATTAGTGCCATATTCTTCAGCATCTCACAGCCAATAGCACCACAGCCCACCTACAAACACATTTTTAGATAATCAAACAGTAGCGCAATGCATCTATGCAAAGAATATATACTAAGAATAAAATAAACAATTTATCGGGTTAAAGTTTTGCTGTGTGACATTAGCTCTTTAATCGATTTTAAAATTACATTTTGGTTCACATTCTACTGTATCTGCTATTCTTTTCACTCACCATAAAGACCTGAAATTTGTGCAGTTTCAAACACAGTGACTCTCCGATACACGCCCTCAACGCATCGTACCGGTCTCCCCTACAAACACCAAAATCAACATTAAAGCAGTGGGCCTCAACCTCCAAGGCTCCCATTTTCCACAACAATATTTGAAGGTAATTCACAGTGATTTACTCAACAAAGATTTTTATAATACTTTCTCACTATTTCTAATGGAACATTTTTTTAGAGCTTGGCATAACAAGAAAAATGTATATTGGTTATAAAAATGCCGATGAGGTGTAAGACCTACAATAATGTACAGTATTTGAAAAATAATGTGTTTTTTGAACATTAAAGCATGTCAACATATTCTGTTACACCAAATACACAAAATAATGATCTTTAAAAAAGCATCATATGACCCCTTTAATTAAAAATTACTTTTCCAGGTCTAGAAATCATACTTTGAAAATTAGGCCACCTCATATTTCCAGTGGAAACATGGCTCTTCAAAAAAAGTTTGGAGTTAAAAAATTTTGATTTGTAATTGTTTCAGTTTATTTTAATGCTTGCTTTGTAGGGATGCACAATATTATCGGACCAATATCAGAATCGGCCGAGAATGGCTTTAAATATATATCAGCATCGGCCCGATATGAAAAATTATGCCGATATGTCTTGCCGATAAGAGGATTAACTCACACATGCTCAAGGTGTGCTAGCGATTAAATCACGTCAGCAGTGTGGTCATTCTTGAAGCGAACTTTTGCCTGAATGATGATTAGATTCACATGTTCATGTGTGCGATTGAGTCAACTGTGTAAGTACTGGTAAGGAGTTTTAATTCCGTAGGGGGCGCTGTTGGCCTACTTCTAAAAAGATGAAAGCAAAATACACAAATAATACTTAGACTGTGTTTCTGATTAAACAAAGCTGTAATTGATGCCATAAAATCATGAGTAGCATATGTTTTGATTTAAAGGTCAGAAGCTATAGCTTTCATGAAAAAAAAAAACAAAACAAAAAAAAACACACGACACTTACAACATATATTTTTTTAAACAAATTATGAGCTCTAAAAAAGATTTTCACAATTTTTACAACTCTTTTGCTTTAGACCATTTACAAATGTTAAATCCGAAAATAAAATGTTAAGGTTACAACTGTAAAAAAATACAGCGATTGAATTTATTTATTTTCAAATCTTCATTGTATTGTCATTATAAAACAACTTTGCTATTGTTTATTTAATTCTAATAAATAAGTTCTTGTTAAAATCTCACCAAAATTAAAAATAATTTGCTTATTTCTGCACAGGAGATTCTTGGTGTTGTTTCCAAACAAAAGGAAATATATCGGCATCGGCTATCGGCCAAAATGAGTTGAAAAATATCGGCATATCAGATATCTGCAAAAATCCAATATCGTGCATCCCTATTGTTTTGCCTTATTTGAAGTCATTTTAAGGCCCCCTTGGAGCACTGATTTAAAGGAATTACATCACAAGTAAAATGATGACAGAATTCGCAGTTTTTGGATGAACTATTCTTTTAAGAAAATTTATGAAGTAAAAATGGTAATGTTTGTATGTGAGGAAGAACAAAAAAGAAATTACCATTCTACAAATGCTGTAGAAACATATGAATTTACAAAACAAGATTGTGGAGCTCAATACTTGGCATCACGCTCACCTTGGGGCAAATTCCTCAGCAGGAAGAGATTGGAGGGGCTGAATCACCTCTATCGCATCGAGATAAAACTGTATAAACACACATATATAAAAAAGAATAAATACTATTTCTTCCTATCAATGTCATGCACTACCATTCAAAAGTTTGGGGTCAGCAAGATTTTTGTTTTTAAAGCAATTAATACTTTTATTCAGCAAGGATGTATTAAATTGATCACAAGTGACAGTAAAGACTTAAATTGTTACTCTTTTTATATAAATAAATAAATAAAAGCTGCTCTTTTGAACTTTCTATCCATCAAAAAATCCTGTATCATGGTTTTCACAAAAATATTAATCACTGATAATAAGAAATGTTTCTTAAGCACCAAATTTAGCACATTAGAATGACTTTATATTTGAAAATGTAATAAATTAACTAAATACATAATAGTATTTTTTATATTAAATATAATACTGTATTATTATATATTTTCTGTATTTTTGATCAAATAAATGCAGCATTGGTGAGCAAGAGATTTCTTTCAAAAACATTTTTTTTTTAAATCTTACAGACGCCAAACGTTTGAATAGTAATGTACATTAAAGACAAAACATCTGACCTTTGACTTACCCATTGCTGAAGAGGAGAAAACTTTCCAGTGAGAGCCTTTAAAACCTCTTGACTAGCAATACCACCCACCGCTGCCGCTAGAGGAGAGAGACATCCCCTCGCACAGCACGACACGCTCCTCACCAGCTCCTGGTTTATGCATACCTGACGACACACACATTTACATTAAAAGACGGAAGATTGAAGATGTGCACAACAGGAAGTGACCATGTAAATGAGTGCTTGTGCAAAACTGACTTTGTTTTTAAGTGTTCTGCTGACCTCCTCTGTGAACTTCAGGAGCAGCTCAGCATCCTGCATACAACTACACAGAGCAGAGGAAAATAATCCAGCACAATGTTATTCATCCATGTCAATCATAATCAGAGAGAGCGAGCGAAATGAAAGATGAAACAAGCAGTTTGGCTGTTCACACTTAATGAGAAATGACACAGACAATATTTGATGTTTAAAGTACAGTTATGAGAAGCCCTATTTTAAACCATTACAATTTCACAGTGGACTATTCAGCACAACGCTGCATAAAAAGAAACAAATGATGCACTGAAATAAAAATTTTATTTGAAACAGAAATTAAAGTTTTCATTTGGCTGAAAACTGAAACTGAAAATAAAGTTTCAGTAATTAAATTTAGGTAATTGAACTTAGTATGTTGTTCAGGGTGCTGCGTTCACAGGTTTCAGGCATCTCTCAGATAAGCAAACTTCATTTGATAAAATCTATCGTCTTTTATCATCATATACACCTTTTTTTTTTTATATACACACAAAAACACAAAGGTCTTCACAAAAACCCTTCAAAATAAAAGTTTGGGTTAAGTTAAAGAAGAATTGTGACAGAAATACATTACTACTGTATAGTAGAATGTACTTCTCAAAGTACTAAAAATAATACTATTAAATTAATAAAACAATTATTAAGCTTATTTAAGAAATATGCAATTTTTCATCAATGTTTTAAATTTAACAGTAAATCTCGGTTGTGCAGCAAATTGTTTGATAAAAAAAAGTGTTCATTAAACAAATTTTTTTTTTAATTTTCATTTGATTATATTTTAAAAGTTAAATGAAACTTAATGTTTTATGCCTTATTTTAGGAAAAGTAAAAGCAGAATTGGGGGGGGGGGGAAAAAAAC